CCCCCCCCCCCCCCCCCGTCATCTCTCTCTCTCTCTCTCTCTGTGGTCTCTATCTCTCTCTGTATCTCTGTCTCTGTGTGTGTGTGTGTCTCTCTCTCTGTGTCTCTGTCTCTGCCTCTGTCTCTCTCTCTCTGTGTCTCTCTGTGTCTGTCTCTCTCTCTCTCTGTGTCTCTCTCTTTTGTGTAGAGGTCCTGGTGCCTCTCTGCGTGCATGCTCCCATGTTTGGTGGATAAGTTGTTGTGGATATGTCTGTCCAGGAAAACTTTTGGAATTAGAATTCGATTTACTGTCTCGTGTCCTACAGTATGTTTAATGTCAGGAGCAAGGGTGCTGTGTTTGCTCTGTGCCTGGTGTGTGAGTTTCATGATTTGGCCAATGTACCCAGCATCCCTTGCTGTTTGACCAAGTTAGCAACCTGTCTGTGTTTAACAGCAAGAGCCATTCCTCTGTTCTGCAGGCTTTCATTGACAAAGGGAGTTCCAGGCACTAGGAGGTTGGACAGAGGTTCATTTTCCTCCCCATTCCTCCCCCTGGTGGGAATCAAACCTGGGGGTGGAGCGAGCAAGGGGAAACTTTCACAAACCTAGCCCCCCAAAGGCACATCAGATAGTTCAGGGACATGACAGGGAAAATGGAGAGAAATTGTTTCCCCGGGTGGGAAAGTCTGGGACCAGAGGGTGTGGCAGGGGTCACCCGGAGGTGAGGAGGAATTTCTTCGCTCACAGGGGAGTGACTCTGTCAAATACTTTCTGGCAGGAGGGCTGTCGAGGCTGGGTACACTCAAGGCTGCGATAGACAGGTTTTTAATCAGGAAGGGAATGAAGGGTTATGGGGAAAAGGCAGGGAAGTGACATTGAGGATGATCGCATCAGCCACACTCTCATTGAATGGTGGAACAGACTCAATGGGCTGAATGGCCTGCTTCTGCTCCAGTATCTTCTGGAGTTTGGAATGGTCACCTGGGACAGAGGGATCTGTACCAACAGGAGCTGCAACCTTCAAGGGAATCTCCTGGGATTGACCCAGGACTTGATCTATCCTCCCTCATCCATCACCTGTGCTTGGCGGTGGGGGTGGGGGTTTGGGGGGTGTGGGCGCATTGGCTGAGGCCGTGGGAGGGGCTGGAGTTTGTCGAGATGATTTGTTTTGTGGGAATGGGAGATTGCCCTGACCCAGGTTGGTGGCATGTTCTCTCTCTCTCTGTGCGCCCGTGTGTGGATGCCAGGTGCAGAGGAGAGCGATGTGTCTTCCTGTCAGTGACTAACACTTTTCTGTCCTTTCAATCGCCAGCACTACCTGACCTGTTTCAGTGGTACCATCGCTGTTCCCTTCCTATTGGTTGATGCCATGTGTGTTGGCTTTGACCAGTGGGCCACCAGTCAACTGATTGGGACCATCTTCTTCTGTGTGGGCTTGACAACGCTGCTTCAGAGTACCCTCGGCTGCAGGTATGTCTCCATCAGCTTGGGACAGCTTCAGGACTGCGTTACACTGTGTTCCATTCTACAGTCAGGTCCAAGCAAAGGGACGTGAGCGTTGCTAGCAAGCCTCGCATTCAGTGCCCCTTTCCCATGAGAAGGTGGTAGTGAGGTGCCTTATTCAAACATGTCCTCCAGAGACACCCCACAATGCCCTTGGGGAGGGAATTCCAGGACTTTGACCCAGTGACGGAATATTTCCAAGTCAGGATGTTCAGTGGTTTGGAGGGGAACTTGCAGGGTGTTCCCATGTATCTACTGCCCTTCTAGTTGTCAGTGGTAGAGGTGATGGGCAGTAGTTGTTAGTGAAGTTAGATCACACAGGATTCAGGGTGAACTTGCCAATTGGATTCAAACTTGGCTTGACATGCAGAGACAGAGGGTGCTGGTGGAGGGTTGTTTATTGGACTGGAAGCCTGTGACCAGAGGTGTTCCACTGGCATCGGTACTGAGTCCAATTTTGTTTGTCATTTATATAAAAGATTTGGATGAGAATCTAGGAGGCACAGTTAGTGAGTTTGCAGATGACACCAATATTGATGGGATAGTGGACAGTGAAGAAGGTTATCTAAGATTACAAAGAGATCTTGATCCATTGGGTCAATGGGCTGAGGAGTGACAGATGGAGTTTAATTTGGATAAATGCGAGGTAATTGCATTTTGGTAAAACAAACAAAGGCAGGACTTATACAATTAATGGTAGGGCACTGGGCAGTGTTGTAGGGCAGAGAAACCTGGGGGGTTCAGGTACATAATGCTTTGAAGTTTGCATCACAGGTAGTCAGGGTAGTTAAGAAGGCATTTGGCACACTTGCCTTCATTGCTCAGACCTTTGAGTTGAGGAGTTGGGACGTCATGTTGAGGTTGTACAGGACGTTGGTGAGGCCTCTTCTGGAACACTGTGTCCAGTTCTGGTCACCCTGCTATAGGAAGGATATTATTGAATTGGAGAGGGTTCAGAAGAGATTTACATGGATGTTGCTGGGAATGGAAGGTTTGAGTTGCAAGAAGAGGCTGGATAAGCTGGGACTTTTTTCACTGGAGCACAGGAGATTGAGAGGTGACCTGATAGAAGTTTATAAAATCCTGAGGGCTATAGATAAGGTGAATGGCAAGGGTTTTTTTTTCTCTCTAAGGTGGAGGAGTTCAAAACTCCCTGGGGGAGGGCACATATTTAAGGTGAGAGGAGAAAGATTTCAAAAGGACATGGGGGCAACATTTTTTTTACACAGAGGGTTTCGGTGTGGAATCAACTGCCAGAGAAAGTGGTGAATGCGGGTACAGGTACAATGTTTGGATAAGCACATGAATAAGAAATGTTTGGAGGGATATGGGCCAAGCGCAGGCAGGTGGGACAGGAGGTTGCTTTGGGAACATGGTCGGCATGGACTAGTTGGGCTGAAGGATCTGTTTTTGAGCTGTATGACACAGAGTGAAATGGAAACTGTGGAATTGTTTGAGATTGAAGAGGGAAAGAACTGGTGAGCGCTGTGTTCCTGAGCTGTGCTCTTAGACCTGATGCCTTTGTTGCCTATGAACTCTCACAGTGAAAGAGCCTCACACCTCTCGCTGTGTGCTGAGCCTTGGTGAGTGACCAGAATTCCTGGCTTGAGTCCAGCTCAGGCTGGAGGCTTCTCCTGTGTCTCCTGAGGTCTTTGGCTCTGCTTGCAAACTCCCCTGAATATGCGCGCTATTCCCTGTGAGTAGGCACATCAGTGGATGTGGCCCTGAGCGAGATGGGAGGGGGCTCCAATCATCGCAGCAGTGCCGGGAGCTGTGACAGCAGGAGACTTGAACATGTCGCTGAGTCAGAGAACACTGCTGCACAGAGAAAGGCCTTTCAGCCCGTCGAGTCCTTGCTTGTCAAAAACAGCTCCTTGCTACTCTAACCCCGTTGCCTTGGCATCACGAGGTGCATTCCTCATGACTTCCTCAATGTGATGATGGTTTCTGTCTCTCCCCGCTTCATAGGCAGCGAGTTCCAGATTGTCCACCACCCTCTGGGTGAAAAAGATCTTCTTCACGTCCCTCAGTAAATCTCCTGCTCCTTCCCTTCAATCTCTGCTCCCGGTTGCTGATCCCTCCAGCAAGTGGGCAAAGTTTTCTTCATGCCCCCATTGTCGATACCCCTCAGGCTTTGATACATCACAGCTGGTGAAAAATTGCCTCCAACTCTTGTTGTTGTCAGGGAGTTTGGTTTTAAGTGGGTGTTGCACGGGAGGATATTCAGGAGGGGATTCCAGAGCCGTGACCCCAGGCAGCTGAACGTTCGACTAAGTACCATCCCCATTTTGAAAATAAGTCCACGTTCTGGTTTCCTGCATGCTGACCTGTGCCCAGGACATCCCAATGCAGCAGCTAACTCACACAGCCAGCAATCCCGTAAGATCCCAGTTATGTGAGCAAGCTCAATTCTCTCCCGGGTCAGGTGGCTTTTCTGCTCGCTGTCATCCAGACCCTTCGCTCAGTTCACAAAAGGAATCTTCAGGGAATACAGTGTCCTACTGGGGTGAAAATGGGAGACGGGGGAGAAAATAAGCTTGTGCCAGGCTGACAGCACAGCAATCCTTAGAGAACCCATACAGGATACAAGCTACCGTCAATCTCATCAGAGATTCATGTGTCAAATTAAAGCACGTGGGATCAGAGGTAGAGTGTAGAGATGGATAGGAAATTGGTGAGAAGACAGGAAACAGAGAGGAGGAATAAAAAGGGTTGTTTCTGAATGGCAGCCAGTAACTCGTGGGTTACCACAAGGATTGATACTTGGACCCCAGCTATTCACAATACATGTGGATGATTTAGGTGAGGGAACTAAATGTAAGATCTCTGAATTTGCAGATGACACAAAGCTGGGTGGGAGGGTGAGCTGTGACGGGGATGCAGAAATATCGCAGTGTGATTTGGACAGGCTGACTGTTTGGGCAAAAGCATGGCAGGCGCATCATAATGTGGGTAAATGTGAGGTTATTTACGTTGGCAGCAAAAATGGGAAGGCAGATTAAGATTGGAAAGGCTGTAAATTGAGAGAGGGAGATTGTTCGATGAGACCTGGGTATCCTCGTGTACCACCCGCTGAAAGGTAAGAGTGTAGGTTCAGCGGGCAGTAAGTTGGTCTTCATAGTGACAGGGATCGAGTCCAGGGACAAGGATTTGTTGTTACAGTTATACAGGGCATTGGTGAAGCTTTTGTGCAGTTTTGCTTTCCTTATCTGGGGAAGGATGTTCTTGCTGTAGAAGGAGTGGAGGGAAGGGTTACCAGATTGATTCCAGAAAGACAAGACTGAATTATGAGGAGTGATGGAGTCTGTTAGGGATATATTCACTGGAGCTCAGGAGATTGAAATGGGTATCTCACAGAAACGTATAAAATTCGAACAGGACTGATCAACTCCCAATGTTGGGGGAGTCCACCTGATGGGGAGCTGACCCCCACCCCCACAAGAGCACAAGCTCCTTGTGTTGAGACCTGGGGTGCGAGGGAATTGAATCAGAGATAGTAGAAATTGCAGATGCTGGAGAATCCGAGACAACAAGGTGCAGGGCTGGATGAACACAGCAGGCCAAGCAGCATCATAGGAGCAGAGAGGCTGACATTTCGGGCCTAGACCCTTCATCAGAAAAGGGGGAGGGGAAGGGGGTTTTGAAATAAATAGGGAGAGAGTGGGAGGCGGATAGAAGAGGGATAGAGGAGAGGATAGGTGGAGAGGAAACAAACAGGTCGAAGAGGCGGGGATGGAGCCAGTAAAGGTGAGTGTAAGTAGGGAGTTAGGAAGGGGATAGGTCAGGGTTTTGTTTTTCTCGGGGTTCCCCTGTGTAATTGGTTGTGTTGTGTTTCACAGGCTGCCGTTGTTCCAGGCCAGTGCTTTTGCGTTTCTCGCTCCTGCTCGAGCCATCCTGTCCCTGGAGAAATGGAAATGTAATAACTCAGGTATGGAGAGAGTTTTACAGACACCGCTGGGGCTGGGATCGGCGTGATTACAGAATGTGGGACCCACCTTGGGATGGTGCCCTGCAGCTCTGCGCTGGCTCAGGGTAAATGTAATGACTTTCAGCTCCTCGGAGACAGAAGGTTAACATGCCTCATTCTCAGGGAAGCTCTCGTTTTTTTTCCGAGCTCTGGGGCTGCAGCTTCGTCTCGGTGTCCAGCATCCACCCAGACATTTTCCTTTCTGTCCTCCTGTGCACATTCCGACATAGGAGCAGCAGTTGGCTGTTCGGCCCCATCCAGTCTGCTTTGCCGTTCAATGAGAGCGTGGCTGATCTGATCATCCCCAACTTCACTCTCCTGCCTTTTTCCCCATAACCCTTGATGCCCCCTCCCTGATTAAAAATCTGTCTTTCCCAGCCGTGAGCACACCCAATGACCCAGCCTCGACAGCCTTCTGTGGTACAGAATCCCACTGATTCACTCCCCTCTGAGAGAGAAAATTCCTCCTTATCTCTGTGTGACATGGGTGACCCTTTTCTCCAAGATTACACCCTCTGGTCCCAGACCCTCCCCCACGGGGAAACACCCTCCCCACATCTCCCCTGTCAATCCCTCCCTCAAAATCTTGTCTGTTTCAATAAGATCCCCTCTCATTCCTCTAAACCTCAGTGAGTACAGGCCCAACCTACCTAACCTGCCCTCTGTGGTTGGTTCGTTTGTCGAGTTGTTTGTTTGTTTGCAGACGTTTTGTTACCCAGCTGGGTAACATCATCAGTGCAGCCTCCGATGAAGCGCTATTGTGTTTTCCTATCTGGTATTTAAACTCTGGGGTCCGTTGGAATTGGTTACCTTGTTTCCAGGGTTTTTCTTCACAGTGGTGTATACGTAGGGTCCAATGAAGCATCATTGAGGAAACACAACAAGCCATAAGACAGGCAGTGGTCCCGACACTGACCAGAATCCCCACATATACAAATCACAACATCTGCAATCCGAGCTACAAATCTACTCAAAAACCTTCACCTCACCTCATAACACAGTCCCTTCATCCTCGGGACCAGCTGAGTGAACCTCCTCTGGGCTGCCTCCAATACCAGCCGATCTTTCCTTCGATAAGGGGCCCAAAAACTATTCACAGGATCCCAGCTGGGGTCTGGCTAGTTTCTTGGACAGTTATAGCAACACCTCCCTGTTTCTGTCCTCCAATCCCTTTGGAATAAAGTTGCCGTCTCTCTCTCTGTGTGTGTGTGTGTGTGTGTGTGTTTGTGTGTGTGTGTGTGTGTGTGTGTGTGTGTAGGGGCATGGGGTGTATATGTCTGGGTGTGGGTGCTTGTGTGTGTGAGTGTGGGGTGCAGTCTGGGTGTGTGTGTATGAGTGTGTGTGTTTTAGAGAGAGAGAGTGTGTGGGGTGTATGTGTCTGGGTGTGGGGTGTGTCTGTGTGAGTGAGAGAGAGTGTGTGGGGTGTATGTGTCTGGGTGTGGG